TGAAGTGGTTTGACCGATTTCACGTCTGACTACAAGCTGACTGTTCAGTCTATTAGTTACTGTTACTTGTTCTCTAGGGTAGATATGATATTCGACTGTCGGTCAAAGAATGTGTGAAGCACTCACCAGTTCTCTCTGTCCCTCTGTACGCCGATTAGTCGTCTTTATTGAAAGTCTAATGTTTGAAAAGGCTAGCTATTTTTAACCACAGACATTTGAGTTCTATATCCCATGTTAAGTCGTGTAATATGTTGAGTAGTACTGAGGTTAAGTGCAGTGTTAGGTTAGAATGGTGAGTCAGTGGAAGATGTCGTGAAGTTTTTTATAGACTGAGATGGCTAGGTCACGCGATTCGCATGTCGAGTAGTGCTAGCTCAACGTGGGATAAATTTGTAAAACAATTACGGTTGGTCAAATCAAACACGACAGAGATCCATAAAGTCTTTAAATGTTGGTCTTAGCAATACTGGGACCTGTAAACTGATTGGTTAGTGTCCACGACATGCCAAGATCCAATGAGTGGTGAGTGCTGGTGATATGCCTCAAAATTGTTCTCAATGGAGCAGAGTCGATCACTCCTCGTAAATACCCAGATCCACTGAATCTTCATTACTCTCCTTGAAATTATTCTTTTTCTCTTATATTTCTGCTCATTATAGCCTTTTTTTGAATATTTTTTGCATCTTTATGCACTATATGGAGTATGGTGACTTGAACTCCTCTACTCCTGTACAAAGTTCTACGTTGAAACTTGGTCAATCAGTCACGCAATTCCTCTAGTATTTAACAGAATAAGACTGAAGTATCAATTTACCTTTCATTATAAAAATGTTAGATTGATTACATCAAAATAAACTTGACAATACATCAGGATTCAGAGTGAAATAACTTAATTTCTTTAATAGAAAATCTAAATTCCACTTGTATGACTAGAAAACCAAAGCAAGACAAGCTTTCATCACTCTCAAGTCTGCGTGGAGGTCAACATCACTCAGCATCAAAAATGAGATCCGGATTTTCAACTCTAATGTGAAGTTATTGCTACTATACGGATGGATCAGAGACTTGGTGCATCATAAAGAGCACCTCAAACAAACTTCAGATCTTCATTAACACCTGTCTTAGCTCAATACTCAAGATCAGATGGCCGGCCAGAAAAGATCAGCAACAGGGACCTCTGTGAGCGAACCAACCAGGAACCGATTGTGCAACAAATACACAGGAAGAAATGGAGGTGGATTGGCCATACACTGAGGAAACCATCAAGTGACATCGCTAGACAAGCCATCGCTCGAGTGGAACCCGAAAGGGAAGCGGCGAGTTGGTCGTCAGTGTGAGGGTGACTTGGAGGAGGTCATGTGAAGAGGAGATGAAAGCATGTGGGCAGACTTGGAGCCAGGTGAAAACGTTGGCAGAGTACAGAACGCAATGGAGACGCGCGGCTGAAGCCATATGTTCCTCTAGGAATTAAAGGAAATAATAACAGAAATCAAAAATTTTCAAGTTTGTTTTTTGTAGGGACTTCATTTGTTTCAGATTTGATCACACAATATATCGCTTAGAGAACCGTTGAAAACTAGGGAGTAATGGACAACTTCTGTGACCAATGGGGTCCACCTGGTCGGCAGTGCGGACAAATACTCACCAGTGACGTCGGCCGGTGCTAGTCACACCAAAACCACGAATTAGTAGAAGTTACATTTCATGGGCCACTGAGGTGGATATCAGTGACTAAATAGTCTACGAGCTTGCCTTGTAACCTGGAAGCTCTGGGTTCGCCACCCAGTGTCTGCGGACTACCGATGAGTCCCAAACCATGACAAAGCAGTTGTCCAAAACTCCCTGTTGGTTTTTGATGGCTCTCAAACTGAAATCGATCTGTGACTACACCTGAAAGCAATCAAGAAGTTTGAAGATGACTAATAACTGACTATTTATCTTTGTTACCAGGATTAAGACATGATACATGAAACGATGCTTGGGCGTAAAAGAATCATACAATGCTGGAATAACTAAAATCCATCTGGAAATTAAAACTTATCAATCACAACCGAATAAGTGCATACTAGCTGAAATGCGTTATCCTGATTTGACGTTGTAGTTTACCAAAGATATACGTATATGGTACTATACTTATACTACTGATTAAGTTATGCGAGTGGTTTGACACCATTTACGTCAACTAGTACTGCTTACTAACTAAATCAAAGTGACCTAAACACCAGTGGGTTATTTCGCTCCTATGGGACTGAGTTCATCAATAGTATGCACTATCTAACTGGAAACATCATTTCATTCACCCATTATTCAACTTTTCACATTTGACTACAAGTAAATTATTTCAGTATTTTAGATATAATTCTTCACGGTACCATAAGTTAGTATCACTATAAAATGTATCGGTGGTTCAGTAGTCAAAATAATCATTAGCCACGAGGGTGGGCCACGACTGATTCTCGGCTGACAAACTATTTAACTTCGCCAAGCCCATAGTAGATCAGGAAAAGAGATAAGGTAGAATATAAACAGCATCCCATAACGTAGCAGCACTGTTATTATCAAGATTTCAAGAACTTAAAGCTCTGTGTTCTACCCTCAGCCCATGGAATGAACGATAAAACTACAGTATGATACTGGGCTCGTCTGACACATGCCGACTTATGCCATCTCTAGCGTAGACGTGATATCCAGTAGACTAACGACATAAGAACATGTGTACTGCTCAACAGTTCGCTCTATCCTCCTTAATGGTTGGCTGTGAGACGTGGCCATGGAAAGTAGAAGATACAACAGGGCTAGCTAACTATCTTTGATCATAGGTGTCTGTGTTCTGTCTCCCGTGTCAAGTGGTGGTATAATACGGTGAGCGATATTGAGGTTAGGCTTCGGTCGAGTGCTAAGTGCGGGGGAGGAATCAATCGACGAAGTGTTTGTGAAGTTACTTCGATTGATTGAGATGGTTAGGAGACATGTGTTACTCCTCATGCATCTCTAGCCATTGATCGCCTTCCTCGACAACGAGCAATGCTAGCTGACTGATATAGGATGGATCAGGTTGGAAAAGAGCTAGCACGTGGTGGTCGGATCAAAACATGGCTTCATCAGTCAATGAAATCCTTAACAGTTAGTTTAAGCCAGCCACGTAGGGAGGTGTAGACTTCCTGAGAGGTTGGGGTCCTGGAGAGGGCAAGAGCCAATAAAGGCTGCAGACAATTGATGATATGGCCCAAAATCCTCATTGCCAATCGCAGATGCATTCGCTCTTTGTAATTTATCAGGCAAATGCAATAAAATTCTATTGTTCTTCCATATTACTATTCTTTTCGCCTCATATCTCTGTTTACTGTCTCTATTTTGCATTTCTTTTAACTTTCTTCTCTTGCTTTGTGTGCTACATGGAGGGAGGGAGTGTGGCAACTCACACTGCTGCACATCTGTACAAAGTTGTACGTTGAAACCAGTCAGTCGGTTACGGTATGAGACTAAGATAAAACATGTTAAGTGTCTTTTAACACAAAATATAACCTGCCCTTTTAAAGGAACCCTTGTAAACATTTCATAAACGATACCACAGAATAAGCAAATAACTGAAGGCAAGTAATCTTAAATGCAGGATACTATATTATCCAGTTCATATAAGATGAATCCAGAAAAGAAATTAAAAATTCGGAGAGATTCTAATAATTCTATCAGAAAAAAAAATTAATACAATTATATTTATTCTTGGCAAAGTTAAACTTTCGACACCACTAACAACCAATCAGCAAACGACCTCGAACGGACCAATCACATTAAAGAGGCACATATGATGAATGGAAATGTATATTTGTAGAAAAAAAGCATAAAATAGATAATAAAAAAGGTTACATGGGATATCTTTCTCGAACATGTGAGAGAAAAATCTCCCAGTTTAGCATGGGACTGTCAATGGAGAAGTTACACCATATCCTGTACATATATTCATCCAAATGACTATAAATGAGATCCTTTTGAGATACATTTATAGCCCTTATCCTATTTTCCAACCTGCCCCAAAATCCTTCATTAGAATTTGTATGTGTCCTCGTAACGGGATCCACAAAATCACTTGAATGGTTGTCTCTACGATGAATATATCCCAGAGATGACAGTGAATTGTAGCCTTTCAACTCGTCGGTGTGTATAATTGACCCCCGCTTAACAATTCTGGTAATAATAGGTATAAGAGTAGTTGCTTTTCTATCTGCTATCCTTAGGGAGAGAAGCGACCTAGCGAAAAAAGTTCCTACGAAATATTTAAATTATCAGCATACCCTCTCTAGTGTTAGTAGGCTTCAAACATATAGCACAACGATGAACAAACCCATCAGTTGATTTGGTTTAGCTTTTTAAAGTCATGATACCACCACACAATCAAATTCGTTCTTTCCGGAGCAACTGAAATCTAGGAAATACTGGGAAACACTAACCTCCTCGAATTGCAACAACAGCCTTGTAAGGTCACGCATTAGAAATGAATCAGGCGCAATACAACATTGAATTGCGTTCGTGAACCTCATTGGATAATTCGACATCGTTCGTGAATCTCATTGGATAATTCGCTGATTGGTAGTTAGTGGTGTCGAAAGTTTAACTTCGCCTTATTCTTTAATATATATTTATATTTTTATTCAATAACTTTATAAGATGAATGACAGATCATATTAAAATGAAAGGAAAAAATTCGCTAAATAAACCAACTGATTATCTTTCTTTAATGAATAAAACATTAAAACGTTGAACAATATACTATTGATTTGAGTGAATTAAAACAACAAAAATGGCGAGATTTTCAAAAAAGCCTAAACTCATCCATATGTCATCAAGATATTAGAAACAATAAAATTGATAAAGAATGAAACAAATAAAATTTAAGTGTATACACAGTATTTTAACGTTTTTATAAATAGTAGATGGCTAGTTAGATAGAATTAAAAGAAAAGTTTCAAACAATAAGTGAGAGCTAAGTATTTGTGTAGTTCTCATTTACGATAATAATAATAATCTTCTTCTGCTTCTACTTCTTTATTATAATAATGTGATTGTGGTATTGATGATGATAAAACAGCATTTCTAACAAGAGATGTACCTTGAGCTTTAATACCGACAATATTATCAGCCATACAGACGTATTCGCCTTCATAGTCTAAACTGAAATTAACTATTTGCAGATAAGAGATTGTATGCGTCTCTTCAGTTCCTCCACGAACACTGACTGTAACATCTTTGTAATTACCTAAAAAAATGAATACATATATGTATATTATTTTCATCATCAAAGCATAGACTTGCTGCATTATGAGCATAAGAATATGCACCACACAAAATCCCAGAGTTTATGTAAGAGTATGGATACTACTCAAGTGTCCAAATCGAAGCAGATGGTTGTCTTAGGAGGTCACCCTCCATGCCTTTGAAAATCAACCGCAATGCCGTGGATGTACTTACTTACTGCGGTATTTTAGGCAACGAAAATCTTAACTAATGTTCATCTATACAAACATCTCTGTTTAATTCAGTTTTAAATTTTCCCATCGATTGATTGGAACGAAGTGCTCAATCTCAGGCTGACATGTCGGCTTCTTCTTGTGCAGATGCTTCGACAATGTCTGGGCATTTAATTAGTATTTGCGCGTCGGTGACACAGTAGTTAGGACTCTCGCCGACCATGCACATGGTCCGAGGTTCGATCCCCTGCCGACAAACACCTGATATCTATGGTCGGCCGGCAAAATTTGGGCTACCGATATCCATGCTGAAAATTCACTACTTGTACCAAAAATACAGTGTGGAATCAAGCTGTGAATCAAAAAAAAAATTCAATTGGTGAATGGTGACCAGCAGTTGACTCAGGGATAAAGCGCATTTCGTCCTATTCGGGACTCGTCAACTGGATGTGCCTGCTTCCGCAGTGAGTGATGATGTTCCCACCGAGGCTCAAACCCAGTGCCCATAGTTTCAAACGGGAAAATGTAAAACTGAATTAAATAATTAATATGACCCGTTGCACAAGAGGCAATGGCTCTCGTCGCCCAAGTGGTCTAGCGGAGAACGCTTTTGCGTTCGAAACTTTGCGCGCCGGGTTCGAGCCTCGGTGGGAACAACATCACTCACTGCGGAATGCAGGTACATCCAGTGACGAGTCCCAGATAGGACGATTCCACTGCTAGTCAGAATCAACCAGTTAGCTTCTAATTACATCTCTGTTCATTTTAATTTCATTGCATTTTTTCCACACTTTAATGCAAGCTACAAGGAAGTAAAGCAACTTAATAGAATGAACTTTTTTGCAGAGTTCTAAGTTCACTTTATCCCTTCAGCACTGTAGACAAACTATGCTATATGAGAAAAGATGTTTAAATTATTCGGCAAGTTGAACACTAATCAAAAAGTTTTTTTTCAAGTAAATCATAAGAAAAAGCATAAAAATGAAAATGAAACTAAACAGTCATCTAATTACTTACCTGGCATTTGAATTTTATCCTGTTTTTGATTTGGCCTATTAAAATACCAAGAAATAGTTGGTATTGGATAACCACGAGCTTCACATATCAGTGTGACATTTGTACCTTCTGTAACTGTTTGACTCAATGCAGTCAACTTAACCATGGGTACTTCAGTCAGCAAAGGATAAGAAGAAAAGAAAAACATGAAGAAATACTAGTTTGTAACGAAATTATGTGAAACACATGTGCAAACCAAGCGTGATAACAAATAAGGAGGGATGAAAGCAACCTATCTTCCAGCAAACTGAAATCGACCATAAAACAGATAGAGATTCCAGAAAGTTGTATCACCTCAATATAATTTGGTGGGTAGACTCTCAATAGAATCCAAGATGCATAATTTGTCCTATATGGGACTCATCAACTGCACGTACCTGCATTCTGTAGTCAGTAGCCGAAGGAGAGCTACTTATTTGTAGTTACCATCTGATTCGAGCAGAATGAGCCTCCTGAAACGACACTATAAGCAACTACTCACTTGAAATTAACCCACACACACACACACACGCACACACGGAGATAAATCCAGAAGTTAGGTTATCATGTCAGTACATGCCTGAATCATGGCTTCAAGGCTAACAAGGACGGGTTGTCTATCCTAACACGTCCTCACTAGGAGCCAACATGTTGAACATTTCTGTGGAATCAATCAATGGAAAGTCAAAATCAGCGCCAGTTTACTTTTTTTTCTGTGTGTGTGTGTGATAGTCTGCTTGTTCCTGTAAAACTGTTTACATGATTTTCTGAATGACTTCCAAAACACTATTTTACCTAATTTTGTATACGGCGAAATACAGGTCAGACAGTAAGCATACCTCTGAACATTTAACTGACTCAGTCCTATCAAAAACTGTCTTTCAAGCTTGTCAAGAATCATACAAATGTGTATGGTTTTTGGGAAAGATTTCCATTTTCTGAAGCTTTGTCAATCCATATGTTCAGGCATTTCTACAATGCTAAAAAAGGGGATATTCAGTACTTCATTTGATAATAGTTTTGAGTGGATCTGTGATTCACTTCTATAATTCTTTTACTCTGTAAATAAATGCTGGCTTTGTTCGCCTTACCATGGATAATAAAACAAGCAAACTAATGTTGTTTGTAAAACAGGATTTAATGAATTCATTCAATTTCCGTAGAACTCTTCAACTACCAAGCAGGTGATTCCAAAGTCTGGGGAAGACCGGCTGCCAATCTTCAAAACTTCCAATTGCATATATCATTTGGAGTGTATCTATGGAAGCGGAAAGGTGCTTGTCAACTCGCATAATGGAACATTCTTTCAAGTGGTCGAAAAAAAGCTGAAGTTAAAGTACCAAGAAGTCCAATAACAAAGCATGGAGAAGTTATACCATATCATACACTCTAATAGACTTTACCAAAGACTTTGAGCAACCAATCAGAATTCAGAAGAAATGAAACTCACAAAATGTGTTAGAAAGATGATGATAGGTCATAGTTTCCTGGGATCCATTTGTCTACCCCAATAGTCCTAAAATGTTAGTTATTCGGAAAAGATTCTCCTGCACGTGTATGCTTTAGTAAATCCAGTTAGTCCATTATTCCAACAGTAATCAAACATGCAAACTTCCTGAAACTCTATAAGTTAGTTCAGGATAGAAGCCAATATTTGAATTGGTTATATCATATGTAACTTCATTTGGTTGTCAAAGGTCATATACTGCAATGACTGTATAGTTCAACTCAGCCTAAGGCATCTTATTGACTACAGACATGGTGTTGACTCTGTCAAGCCACTCAGTGTTATCAGTAGACAAACAGAAAGATGCAATTGTGCAATTAGAGTTTATAAACTCGGTCTCTGTATACAAAAGAAAATAGTGATCGTTTTGAATCTATCATGGTAATATCTTTTACTTATTAACTGGTATTATTATTTTATTGAATTTTAGATTTTCCCGTCGATTGATTGAACCGAAGTGCTCGGTCTCAGGTTGACATGTCGGCTTCTTGTGCAGATTATTATTATTATTGTTTTTACGAGTTTTACCACGGATTGATATCAGTTAGGGAACCATTGAAAACCAGCACTAGAGTACTGGACAGCTGTTTCATCCCAGTTTTTGGGGAATCATCGGCTCTACAGACTCACCACAGGAGGTTCGAACCCAGGACATTCCAGTTACAAGGGGACATCCATCCTCACACTTGACTGGATGGACCTCACTGGTCACGACTTCTCACTAGAACTCCAGGAAACTCCTTCCTGTTGTCGCGCTAAATCACGAATTGGTAGAAGTTAGGATTCATGGGATGGCTATTGAATTGGGTCCCAGTGGCTGAATGGAAACGAGCTTGCCTTGTAACGGGAGGTCTTGGGTTCGAACCCGAGTGGCTGCTTACTGCCGATAATGAAACATCTCTCCAGTATTCCCTGGTTTTCAATGGTTCTCTAACTGACATCAACCCGTGATCAACTCGTAATTACAAAACCAATCCTTACAAACCAACTATAGAAAATTAATAATATTGGTATTTTATTCCATTTCGTATTAGTATTCTCGACTCGTTTAAATCAATGTCTGCTCAATGATATTATCTAATGTCGTTTCACTAATATTATTATTTTCCAGTTTGTGATTCTTAGAATTTTCAAGTTCTTTATGTAATAACTAATTGTTTATTTTAATGAGATGACTGGACTGTAATCTATTATGACCTTAATTTTATTCTCCGCTACCCCTTAGCACTTGATCTGTCTGTACTTGACCAGTGAAACATTCGCAATAGTGATTTGACATGACTGATTTATTGTGTTTTATTTGCATAACAGTCATATTATCTTCCAGTGTACTTCTAGTGGTGTATGAGTCACTACATTTAGAGTATTCAGATGAAGAGCTCTGCCGAAATCTGGCGAATTCATTATATCCTGCTTTATAAGTAACATGTATTGATTCTTATGAATTATTTAAAATAATCCCAGCGAGTTTAAGAAAAAATCAAAACAAGATTTTTCTGAACGTTTCGCTGTGTAAGTCACAGCCTCTTCAGCAGAATTATTTTGTTTTTGTTAATCGTCAGAATATATAGTCGAAAATTACACAAACTGAAGTCATTTCTTTTGAAGGTCAACTATCGATAGACATTTGTACCAAGAGAAATATGCAAGCAGTCATTATATATTTGTAAGGACTAATGTCAAATTTAAATAAAGCAATAAGAAGACGTAATTTGTCTAAATCGTCTAATGTGTGTATGCGCAACACACTTCAAACAATCTGATAACACACGGACTTGTCATAAGATTGTAAATATATGAAATCAATAAAGAGTGAAGAGGTGAGAAAATAGGTCAAGTTAAAAGGATATATTTTAGGTCAAAATAACAATGAAGGTCAATAAACCAAATCACAGAGGTAGTAGTACATCTGCTATGATATCAAAACAAAGTTTACCAAAGAAGGTAGTTTAGTGTGATGACGAATTGTTTTTGATGAACGAATAAAAGTGCTTTAAATTTCCTAATTGCCTGCTAGGGCTTCCGCAAACTTTAGGATACGCCCTCCCCCAAACACGTTTTATAGATAGGTTTAAAAGATGCGTTAACGTTAATTTTATGTCGTCTCTCTATAATATGTTTCGCAATACAGGAGCTAGGCATCCTGTTCTCACCATTAATGGGTTCTGAAGATTCTGTTTGTTTCTCAAGCCATTTAGGAATATGCTCTGAAGCCAGCTCTTACTTGCAGAAGTCGAGGGGCCCCCCCTTGTGTATGTGTGTCCACACGTACGTTCAAATTGGTAAATACAGTGGGATGTGACATCATTTTTCGCATGTTCAAAGGGCTTAGATGGATATATTGCCTTCACATTCTCAATTATTTTGATATTAGCCGAATAAAAAGTCTTTTTAACAGCAGTGTTCAATCTTAGTCTACTTATCAAGCTGCTATGATGCCCCATATAGAGTAGCTTGATGTACACGTCTTTCTTAGGGGCAAGTTGTAGAGTGGGTCTTGGTGTTCTGACTACTTTATATCTCCTGATGAACTTATCTGGATAGTTGTTATCAACCAGAGTTTGTGTCAACTTTCTTTCTTCTTCATCAAGTGTCACATTGTCATATTTATCTGTACGTGTATGTGTATGTTTTATTTGTCATATATGCAAAGGACGTCAATTCACACGTAATAAACATGATATTTTTATATAGAGGTCACAGAGGTTTTTGTAGTTTTCTCATCTGTCTTACTTCATTAGAGTTAAAATTTTCAAAGCTTCATATATATAAGATAACCCTACTTCCTAGGCTAAAAGGAATACTACTTAGAACTATAAAGCATATTTCAATTTAGACTTCGTAAAGAACCAAGATCAGTTAGAGGGCAACTCAAAACTAGAGGGTAATGGACAGCTGTTTCATCTTATTTTGAGGTTCTTCAGCAATATGTATCCATTACCCAACCAATAACAGCACCCAGGTTTGTGAGGAAAGGCTGTTAACCTTTTTGATCCCCGATGAAATTATGTGCTCTAATTGCTCAAAGAAACAATTGTCCAGGAATCTCCGGTTTTCAGTTGTTCTTTAACTGATGTCAGTTCACTGTCTAACTTTAAGTCAATGAAATCCCCGTGAACCAACACACTTGAGAATATCAACAAGTAGTTAGTCAAATTTAGGTAAATATAAGGCTTAGCAAGTAAAGAGCTTTAAATTTATCGAAATGTTTGATTTAGTGATTACTACATTCTAGGTAGTTATATTTTTCTAAAGAAACAAAAGATTGACAATGTGAAAATAACCTGAAATATAAGAAAACATAGTAGAAGAAGAAATTTATGAATTCAGTGAGCAATCATTATTTATGCTTAGGGTGTTTATCCCTCAAACGCCAAGTTTTAATATTTACCCAAAGCAGAAAAGAAGATCCTGGAAGGTTAAATCATGAAGTATCTAGAAGATTGTCAGAGTGAAACAGTGATGTCATCACATTTTTCGAAAGTCGTTATCATTCAGCGAGACTGCATCGTCAACCACACATGTGGTCCAAGGTTCGAGCCCCTGCTGGGGCAATCCTCAGACCTGCTTAGTCGATTGTAATTTCAGTAAAGAGAGAAGGTTAGGCGTGAGGCAAGCAACCACA